GCAGCGCCCCACGCCACGCGCGCTCAAGTCTGCCTCTGCGGAAGGCGCTGGGCAGGTGGGCGCCCGGCAGCTGCTGTTGTCCGCGCCGAGCGTGAAACAGTGGCTCAGGAAAGAGCCGGCTGCAGGTGCGGAACGACTGCCGGCGCGGACTTCGGCCCAGAAACCCGAGAGCACCTCGCGCGGCCGGGCGGCCGGTGGTGGAGGGTGAAGTCCACTGCGGCGTCTGGGTGAATGTGCCACTGGGAAGTCACACACGGTGAGGTGGCCGGGGCCTCCCAGGTGGCCTGCGCGGGCGCCTTGGGGCAGCAGCGAGGGAGGGCGCCCCGCTTTCAGGTGGGCCAGGGGGCTGTGGCCCGCCCGGGGGCAGCGGGCGTGACCGCGGGCGGGCGCAGGTGCGGGTGGTTCTGGGCCCGAAGGATGAAGACGCCGTGGCGTGATCTGATGCGTGGCCTGTCACAGATGTTCCTGCCCCCGGGTGAGAAGGTCTCCGGCTTCCTTGTCACACGTCAGCCCGGCTGTGACCCGGGGAGCAGGGCCAGAGAGCACCTCGCGCACGGGGCGGATGCGCGCATCACCCAGAGGCCCGCCGGCGCAGCTCGGGAGCACGGGCGCGGGAGGACGCCCTGTCCTCAGCCCACAGGGTGGGGAGCCGAGCAGGCCTCGCCCCGGCCCCCGCCCCGGGCGCTGGGGACCCCTCCGCGGACCTCATGTGTGGGGGCCACAGGCCCACGGGACCCGGGAAGCCTGTGCATCCCACGACGAGTCCTTGCAAGGCCCAGAATCTGAGTCCACGCAGGAGGCCACATGCCAAGGCCACACGGGCCACCAAGGCCAGCCCTTAGCGCTTCAAGACGCCTCAGAGCAGGCGACTATGGCCAGTCTCGGCGCCACGGTCATGGGGGTGGCAGGTGGCCACGCCACGTCGCCTGAGAGCGGCCACTTTGCCGCCGGATCATCAGCAACGAGACAGCAGACGGCAGCTGCCTCCGGCCTGCGCACTGACCGCCCTGCACTGCCGAGGGGGTGCCCGCCCAGACGCCCCCGCGCGGCCCGGCCCCCGCCTCTCTGAGGTGGCACCTGTCCCGCGCGCCAGCAGCGTCCCCGCCAAGCCGCCTGGGGCGGTCTGGCCGCGCTTCCCGCCTGTGCACCCGCGGCGCAGTCCAGCGAGGCCACGGTGCTCCGAGCATCCACACAGCCCTGGGCAGCTCCCAGCTCAGCTTTAGCTCCTCTTCTCCAGCGCGCAGAGCGGTGTCCACGCCGGCCATCTGGAACCGTCCCTCGGCTTCAAATGGCTTCCAGCCAAAGCCCCGCGCCAGCTAACATAATGCCGCCAAGACCCACGTTCTACTTGCTAGGGGAAAGCGGACGGCCTGGAAGGAGGTGGACTGCTCCGGGCGCCGCCGTCCCGCAGGGCTGGCCTGCCGCTCAGGCCTGGTCAGCATCAGGGCGGCTCTGCCTTCTGCGGGGCCGGGAACTGGGGCTCTGGCGGCTCAGCTCCCCGCGGCCGCG